TTATTATTTATACAGTTAACTTGCAATACATTTAACTTCTAGAGACTAAGAAAAAAGTACAGCAGATTGAAAGTTTGTTATATCAATTAGCATAAGCAAAACAAATATGTTAAGAGATTTATTAAAATGTATTCATTATTATAATTCAGTTTTATTTTGTGTAGCYGCTTGCAATTACTCAGATATAAAATGCTAGAAAAAAACTGTCGTTAATGTTATGTATATTTATATATTTTTTGTAAAGCCATTAAATTATACACTAATCAACATGAATCTTAATGTACTTAAACAAGTTGAACACAATATTGATTTATCAGAAAACCTTAGTAATTTAAGGCTATTTAGTTTTATATACTTTTTGTAGTTATTATAAACTAGCAAACTTGTATGTATATTTTCTTGGTATAAATTATAAGTAATAGTAAAAATGTGTTACAAAGTGAGAGCTTTAGTCATAGAATCTTTGTTATACTATTGAGGGGACAAAAAAAACATTTTTTACTTATCACAAGATTTTCAGGAAAAAGACAATTTAATTTGTTATATAGCGAGTTGAAWGTATTAACATCATTCAAAAGTGTTATATAACATATTTTTCAATCGATTATTTAAGAAAYTTCCTTGAGAGTATTTATAATTATATAATTGTTATTACTGCAAAATAAATATTTTATCCAATCAGTTAACATATTTTTCATATAATTTTATTTCTTACAATTTTTGTTTTACATTTTTGAATTTCTGATTATATATTGGAAACTTATAAAAATAAACAGTAGTAATAATTTAAGTGAAATACATAAAAATTATTGCTGTATCATTTTAATAGCCTGCAACCGATAGCAGTAGGTAGTCTTAAACTGTTTGGCATTTAAAATTTAAAAATACATTTATTATTAATATACTAATATTATCAATTGATGTTCATGAGCCCACGGCGGCCCATATATTGAGCCAGCCCGGTGTGCTACGGCACACTAGCACACCTGGCCAGTCCGCCCCTGTACTAAATAGTAAACTTAAACAGTAGTACTTATACAACTTTAATATTATGATAAAAACTTCTATTTTAAGTTCCAAAGTAGTCTTAATTGACTAAGTTAACATTATTAATTATAATTGATTATAATATTAGAAATTAGAATATATTATGTAATTATAACAAATAATAAATGAATTTAGTATAGTTAAAAGAATCTAATACTGTAAAATTTAGAATTTTATTTTATTACCTTTAATGCAATACATTCAAGATTTGCTTCTTTTGCTTCAATTTGCACTGAGATTTCTGAGAAAGAATTYTTTTGGTTCTTCATATTAGTAGATATATGATTTATTAAAAATTTCTTCAACTTTTTTGATAACAAATTTAAATAGTCTGTATCAAAATTTAAATTCCACAAAGGAGATACACGGAATATTGTCCAATTTTTACCAACAAGATCTAGATTAAAATATATCATCAATGTAAACACAAAACACATAGATAGTTAAATATTCTTTTAGCAAATACTTAGGATAAATTTAAAATTAACTGGTTTAATTTTAGTATATACTCATAATTTTTTAAACCTTACCGAGTATATCAGATATTTCTATAAGAGCAGTTGGATCGAAAGTGAAATCTTCAACTATTCCTGACTCTGATCCGGACATTGTAACTATAATTCAAATAAAATAACAASATCTAAATTACTGCAAACCAAGATTTCAAAATGTTATTTACAATAAGGTGGCTAATTGCCGTACACCCCAGTGCCCTGATAAAATATTTTAATACCACCAATAATCTCACAATTAAATATTAATAACTTATSTTCACATTTTGTATCTTACTAAACATTTCTAGAAGAAATCCAATATTGTTTAGATAAATGATAAATAATCAAATTTATCACTTGATTGACTGACAATTTATTATAAATCTATTTTCCAAGCTTGGTGATGACAATTAACATGTTCATAGTTTACTTATTCCTCACGACAATATTTGATATTATTCRCTGCTAATTGATAATTTTGTCAGTTACTCATTCCAAATTTGTAACATTGAATTATTTTGTCTTTATACATGTTGTATGTCATAGAATGCTAAAGATTATGTCTGGTATTCCAGTTACGAAAAAGAAAACATGGATCAAGGGCTGTCTTAAATTTAGTGATCACACAATAAATGTATTAAAGTTATTGGACAGATTAAAAAGTGAAAATACTGAGTGGGATATTTGATTTTAGAAGGTGTTTAAATTGTTGTTTTTGGCTCATGCAAATCATTTGTCAAGGTGGATACTTAGGTATCCAGGCACTATTTGTTGTAGAATTTTGCCATTATGGAGTAGAATYAGAGGGAGAATACCAAGACCCAGCGAAAAAATTGTGAGTAAGTTTTTGTGAATCATACATTAGTCGTGTTTTTTGTGATCCAAGTACATGCAATTTTCATTCAGCATATAAAAAATAATGAAAATAAAAGCATCTTTGTAATCAATTTTTTTTACATATTTGTTTTTTTATACAGTATWTTCCTACAAAATTATAGCATAAATGCATGATTTATATTTCTGAAGTTTTTAGAGTATATCAATACGGGCTCTAGTGATTACCATTACTTTCAACAAAATTAATTCATGTTAAATTGTAGAATATTATCAATAAAACTGTATCATTATAATAGTTGGTAACTCCACCCTCAGCCAATGCTAGGCAACAGTATATTTTAGGTAACGTCCACACACAATTCACAGCATTCCTATAGGCATACAATTACCTAGTTACTTTTAAATATCAACCCAAATAATTGTATGGTACTAACAACTGTAGATCTAGAATACTACATAGTAAGCAGAGTTTCCAATCACCAGTTTGTTTGATGTGCTCGAGTTATTGTTAAGTAGGGAGTAGTAAAGTAAATGACCTCTGGAATTAATTACTCTGAAACCATCCCAAAGTTGATGTTTATATTTGTAGAAACCATCAAATAAGAATGATTTACCAAGGAACAGCAAATACGGTTTTAAGCGTTTGTCAGTTATTTTATTAGATGGACTGTATACTGATCAAATAGTGGAGTAATAAGATTTAATGATATTAAAATGGAGATATAATACAGACATTATACTACTAAATGGAGCATGACTAGTTCTATTGGTATAACATGAGTGTGTTGATATTGGTGTAAACTGTAAATTATGCTACATGCAAAYCAAAATGTTTGTTATATTTGTATATATAACTGCAATCTCTCTATCAAGAGATCACATAATGTCTGGATGTTCTGTATATTAGCATGTCTATGGTAGAATAGCATGATTTATATTCAATTTTAACAAGTTAACAAGTTAATATATTTTTAAAATTAAGAAATGTTATACAAATAACAATGTAATAAATTGAACACTAATTTCATAGTTTCTTTGGCATTGCTTTACAAGGAATATTAAATGCCAATAGTAATACTTACCATCTTCTTCATCAGATTCGTCAGTTTCAATTGAATGTGGGTCTTCAATATTTTCTTTTTCATTATCATCTAAAACAATATACATACAATAATATTTATTAAGAAGATGAAAAATGATAAAAATAAATATATATCTTAATAGATATATAAACTATTGTATAGTTAAAAATTATTAGTATTACAAATTTGATAGCAAAAATAATAACTATTTTTATGAAAAACTTTAAGCAAAAAAAAAAAAACAGTTGTTAACGGTTGTTATTTGCAGTTAATACTAAGGAAGTTGATTTAAATATGTCTAAAAATGAAGAAAACATGGAGCGAAATAAAAATTAATTAGTATATAACTATAAAATAGATGCTATAATAATAACATGAATTATTAATTGTTCATACTTGTTTGATTAAATTTTTAATCTATTTAGTGTTGTTGATTAATTTATGTTATATGCTAATTTGTTATTCTTAAAATTTTATTTAATTAGGTAAGATATATTTAAAAAAAGATTATTTATTATTAAAATATGTTGAAATTCTAAACATAAATACTGATTTAATTTATTTTTATATTTTTTCCGCAAATTATATAGTATAATATATAGAAATATAACTAACCATTAGTTATACAGGATATATCACCAAATGACTCAGAGGATACTTCTGGTGCAACTAAAAAAAAAATAGGTATATGAGACAATAAATAGATATTTAATTTATAATATAATTTTTAAGTTAAATGTGTGGCATTCTTAGCAGTGCCACTTGGCCAGATACTTTATAGTTCTTCTTGATTTTTTTTTTTATCTCATTTTGTCTATAGGCCATTATTTTTATAAATTCATGTCTTCTAAATGACTATGTACATTACTGGGAAATGAGATKGAGGATAGTTGTTCGATTAATGGGTTACTGTAAGAGTTAACATGAAATTTAGAATACTATAATTTTACTAATTGTTTAAGGGTCAGAATTTTTAGATCTTTATGAAATACCAAGAAGAAAACGTAACTAGTTGTAGCCTTGTAGGTAGATATATAGGAACATCTGAAGTGTTTTGATATTAGATGGATTTGCAGAACCCCATAATTTCCRAACTGATTGAATTATGCTGTGATGTTAAATCTTAAATGTTTCATATGATACGAATTTTAAAGGCATATTTGCAATATTCTCACTGAATATAATGTATAACTCTTGAGCTCAGTTAAAATTACAAAAATATAGCATTAATATAGGTATAATGACTTATAATATATTTTAATTTCAGTGAAGTAGATGCAGACTTACTTGGATCTGCTTCAATAATACTTAAGTCTTCGTCAATTTCCATTATTATCCAGTATTTATAGTAGTCGTTCTAAGAATTTATATATCAATCTTACTATGTATGAACTCGAGTAACTTTTGAAAAATGCAAGACAATGTCATGGAAAAATGAAATTCACAATTTTGATTGTTGATTATTATTTATTGTTTGGTTATACCATAGACATATAAAATGTTTTTATGTTTTATATGTCTATGGTTTATACTTTTAATATTATGTTGTGTATAATTTACTATTTACTATTTTTGAAATTTAAATTGTGGTTGTAGATAATACCTTATCAACTACTACTGGCTAGTCGTGCTTGAAGCTTGAATACAAAAATATTCATAACGGAATAACGGATTAAAGTGATGACAATTAACCATTGTTTGTCCGCTTGAATCGCTAGTGTAGCTGTTTAGTGTATAAATATATATCTATTGTTACTTTTATTATTATGTCTATGCTCTATACTCTATAGTCGTGATCAAGACCAGTAGTCGTGATCGATATCGGCACGGCGGTCAGCATAATTTTTAAATTTAAATTCAAGGCCGTGAATGGTGAGGGGCGARGGCTTAGGAATCCCYTAACATGTTTAAAAGTACTATGAAAATAAATATGAATTTTTATACGTATTTTGAACCTTGAACGTAAAATTGATACTTTATCATCCAAATTAAAATGTTAGTTTACACTCCCGCCATAAACGTAACGATACCTATATTGTATATTTGCAGTTTAATAAAGTATTTTAAGTATTATTATACTAATACTGAACTGAAAAAACAAAATCAGTCAAGTAGGTAACCAAGAACCGCTCTACTATAAAATAGATGATGCTGATTGCTGAGTGTACGTCGTCAATAAGTAAATCATTGTAAATAATATGTTGAATAGAGAAAGGTATTTAAGCACTTAAAGTGAATCGTGTATGGTACTAACCTACGTGATATGGACTAAACATAATACTAAACAAACCAATAATCAAATACACTAATTTGATCTTGCCCTGTGTTGAATTTTATCCACACCTACTCACCCTT